AGATACACGATTGCTTGATTCGGGACAAAGAATAAGTTTCTGAGTAGACGATATAGATCGTACAATGAAGTTCATAATGATAGTTAAATCGAATTTCTTTTGTTTAACTAAATTCAGAAAGAAGAAAAATTTCCAAATTTTGACTCTTGTCTAAAATGTATCATTCGAATTTCGTCTGATAATTTTTCAAAAGAATATTTTTTGTTGATATCTTATGTTAACTCATGACACAGGAGTTTGTCTCTTTCTTTGTGTAAATATTATCTAGAAACTTGATAAGAAATACTTTGTTCTTACTATTATTTTGTAAACATTCACATTGGACTTTTTTTGTCATGTCTTTTCGATCTTCTAAATCAAAATCAAAACCAACGGAAAATGTAAGAAATTATTTCAATCAATAGATCTTTCAATCTTTCTCGTTGTTTTTTCCTAATAGAATTCAGCTGAATTAACATTAAAAGCATTATCTAAAACTCAAACAAATGATCATCATACTTCTGACATTGAAAAATTACAAAATGAAACTGAATATAATGATAAAACTTTAAATCTATTTATAAATCATGTTTTTATTACTCTTGATGCAAATATTGATGATTTAAAATTATTAATTGACAAGAAACGACCTGAACAAAAAATTTATAAAGTATCAATATGTGATATTTGGCTTCGATTAAAAACTATTGAACAAATGGAAACATATCCACTTGTTACTCTGCTACGTAGAAATCAATTGCATCGTCCAGAAATAAAATTATCAGAAATAAATTATGATATGAAGGAAATTGAATCACAATATTTAACCAATCGTCGTCGATCTCGTTTTATACATTTTCATATATGTGCAGGATCAGATGAATTTAATTTTAATATTGGTTCTTATGTCGGTTTAGTTATATTTTCTTATGATAATCAATCAAAATTTATATTAAATGGTCATCATTGTCAACGTGGGGATATTATTATAAAACAGATGAAATTTTTCGGTTATCAACAAACAATACATCGAGGAATATATGATGCTTTATTTAAATGGTATTTTGGTCGTGTAATTGATGAAAGTTTTATTGGTATTGGATTTTTATGTTTAAATGAAAAATGGCGTTTTGATTTAATAACATGTAATAAGAAAGAAATATTTCTATATGAATATCGAATATTAGATATGTTTATGTTAACACATTGGTTAACACAATTTATCATAGAACATAATGTTCATGAAATGGAAATGAATACTAAAGATATATTATTAAACCAATATGATATTGTAAAAAAGAAATTAATTAATCAAGAAAGCACAGAATTATTGAATACTTGGAATGAATTTATTGGTAGTGATGCGAAAGATTTAGAATTAGCTATTAAACAATTTATTCAAACAATAAAAAGTGATCTTGAAATTATTTTTAAAGAACTCGATATAAAAACAACTATTCATTCAGATTTATTAATACAAAACAACTCATAATCCCTTGTTTATTATATATTTGTCGAAATAATTCCGAAATTCGTGAAAGAAAACAGTTGAAACCAGTGATCGAACTTTCAATTTAATAATTTGGATTTAGATTTTGTTTGTTTATATCTCATGGTTGAATATCTGAATCATAGCAATGTTAATAAACTAATTATTTTTCGATCAATCAATTTTTTTAATACTGTATTTAAATGTACTCGTTAATTAAATTTTCTGCTTTTTTAAAATATTGTAAAAGCTTTCGATTACTCTTCATATTTATTTAAAATCAATGTAATGTTGTGAAGGATTCATCCTAATTCGTTAAATGATGTCTTATTGGGGAAATTAGCATATGTGACACTCCCCGTTTGAGCTCATATTGTATGCACAGGCGAGGGTTGGGCAACAATACGATCGGTGACAAAAATGCAAAATTCAAGCGAAGAAATGACGATCGGGTCAAAAATGAATGCCTTCCAAATACGACACATCACATTGAGAAAACGTTGTTACACAACGAAAGCCCAGAACAATCAATAAAAGTGGACAATTCTCCTCAGAAAAATGCTTTTCAACAACAGAAAAATGCTCCAGCAGAAGGGAAAAATGAAAATCTATGGGAATAATCAGAGTTTCCATAGAGAAAACGTTTTGAAAAAAATGAAATAATGACTCTGAAAAAGGGGAAGTGGTAACGAATCTTTATTTCTATGCAAACATTTGCTGGCTCAAAATTTGAGAGTTGTGGGGAAAATGGCAGTTAACATAGGAAAAATTATTTTTAGATTTGGAATAATGAGCTGGAAGAAAGAAAAATGCTGAGTAGATGTGGTGATACTGCATCGTTGAATAGCGGAAAAATACAATCTTTAGGAAGATTTAGTCTTTTGCAAAATCATTAAAGTATTCTCAGTTGATTCTTATAGTGGTAGAGCTTTGTATTTAGATTAAAGTTCGCGTTGAGAATTACTGCTGTATGAAAGTATTCGGTTGATATAACCTTCTTTTTCTAGGAGAACGTGTTTAGGTTATGAAACATGTTCGTAAGGCATAAGTTCTTATGACGTTATGATGATATAGTCGATACATCCCAAAGGGAGATAAAAATGCTATTGTAATCTATCTTTTTGTTCGCTTGAAGCCGCTTCTCAGCTTGTTATATACGTAGACTTAGTAGTTCAGTATACTTTGTAGCATACCCCACTCACTGTGGACTAACTTTGAGATATACGGTGGACTTTTTCGTAAACTTTAAACTCAGTTAAGTTTTAATTTTTCTTTGCGTCCTATTCCGACTCTGCTAGATTAATAATATCACCGCCCCTTTGATCGACACCTGGAAGAAGATCCTCCCATTTGTTAAAATAGAGAAACCCGCAATATGTCAACGACTCGGTATTGTATAGTAGAAGCCTTTGATTCATAGCATTGCTCGGAAGATTCTAGAAGATTCCAGAATGGTGTAAGTGCTCTTATTACTGACTCACTTATTCATGTTGCTAGGAATCTGTACCTTATCATAGGCAGCTTCGTACCCTCCATAGCTCTCAAGAGAAACGTAACTAATCACTCTTGTCCTTTTTCTGTTTCGCCCTTTTGTTGTTATGGAGGCATACCCACTAATCTTTTCCGTTTCTCCTCACACCCTGCATGTAGTGGGCTCGGAAGGAATCCATGATGACCAGAATCTCAACTGGAGCCCACTATTGTTTTGGAGAAAAATACATTAGTTCCACAAAATGACTGAACCATTCGGTTGCACATATGAATTCCGAAGCGAAAGAAATGAAAATCTCTGAGCATACTGATAAAAATAGCATAGCAACGAACTTTTCTTTCTGATAGCATTGTTTTTATATAAATACAAAACACATTTTGATCGATCTATGTCGTAGAGATTAAACTATCATATATTCTAATAGCATGAACATCTTTGGCTCGTTCAATGGGCTTGTATGTTTATAAAAGAGTTTTTGTTTCCGTGTCTCAGTGTGGTTGACATCGATATAACGGTGATTCATATAGATTTGATTCAAATGGGGGAAATTGTTATATATATGAAGAGTACTAGTATAATAGCGGACAAATGAAAATCAATAGAAATCATGCTCAACGCTATAAGAAAAATGATTCAAACAAACACATTTCTTTTATATCTTAAGAGATAAATGCTTTTATTGTCAATTATTCGAAGTGAATATAGCATCCTTATAGTATCTAGTAGATTGTCAACGAAATGATGAAAATTAGATAATCTATAATATGACGCAAATTTTCGTATGCATGGAAAGGGTTGTTTTCGCACGTATTTCTTTTCTGAATGGTAATCATAGAGGAATGGAATACGGATGAAATGTGGACACATGTGCATATATGTATATGACAGTTCTCCCATATGAACAGAATGAAAAGAAAATTCCTTTTTGACCAGGACGGTATTTTTCCACTTGAAATGAGCAATTATCTCGTCGATCGATTTGTTGTCCACTTCTGTTGGACATTCCTAAAAAATTAGAATTTTCGGAGAATTTTAGTTTGTAAAAGTCTGTTGGAGTAAGAAACGAAGCATTTGTCGCAAGCGAATATGCCCTGAGGTTGTACTGATTATGTAAACTTTTATGTTGAATAAAAGCCGGTGTAGTATGTTGATCAACACAACGTTTTTATTTCCTATTTAAGAATAGATAAATTTCTTTAAAAGCAAGCTGCGATAAGAAGTTCTCATATTCTTTGGACGATCGATATTGAATGTGGGGTGCTGGTATTGATCTTCTCTTGAACCATACTCACACTCACCCTAAACAATAAACTCAAATCTTGATAGTGTTTTCAATAGATTATGGAGTTTTCTAAATAAATCATTCTATACCAAGATTTTATCGATAAGCTATGATGACAAGATGTTCAAAAGACTGAAGACAATAATTTACAAGTTTACATGAGTTTGTTGCAAGTATGGTCAAAGAAAAGAAAATAAGAGCTTGCGGCATTTTTACGACCTTCTCTTAAAAAGTTAAAAGTATCACAAAAAACGTAATATATCAACAAAAATTTAAAAAAAAACGCTTTGCTCAATTTTTGTGACACTTAGTTTCGTAAAAAGAAGATCGTAAAAAATGCAGTTACCTCTCATTTTGTTCTCTTCAAAATGACTCCAATAAAATTCTCTAAAACCTGAAAACTACCATGTTCGATGTCTTTTTGGAAGTAGTTCAAAGTATAGAACTTGGCATCGTTTTTCTTTTCATAAAAAATCAAAAATTTTCACGAATAGATTAGTACATTCTGTTATTCTTTTTGAAATATTAACATAGCCTCTCTGCTAGAGCCTTAACAAGTTCGGAATTTTTTTTTTTGATGCAAATGGAATTTACTCGAGCCAAGGTCAATTTTTTGACGTGTGGAACCTTCACATCATAATCTCTAGTTTTTTTTGAAGGCACATCTGATCCATTTGCAATATAAATTTTGGATAAAAAGAACATTCCAAAGTAATGAAGTTTTAGGTACATATATTTAATCAACAAATTCGATCGAAATGTCTAATATATTGTATGCACTTGATCATCCATGTCTTATTATTGTTCATGATATTTATGATATATTAAATACTGTTTATAGTATGCTTGAATTAGTTGAACATGAAGAATTATTTGATCGTATTGTGGCTAAAGGTCAATTAGCTGAATCAACAACTAAAACCAGACAATGGTCTTTTAACAACACCAAATTATCTTAGTCAAAGAAAAACTAAATTTTGAAAACTAATATTAATTGTATTTCTTTTTAGCTCTAGAAGTTTTATATGCAATTTTATATATTTCTTTAGGTAAGAAAATCTTTCGGTTCCATTTTTTTATTATCTAAAGTACTAATCGCTTCAATCCAAAGAGTACTTAGAAAAGAGAATAATATTCTCTATGATTTCAGATTCAAGGAGACATAGTGAAGATAGAGACAGTGCTGACATTAGATTTAATGTCGTTTATTAACACTCATTAGAAAGAACACAAAAAGTCATGCGCACAATAAGACGTTGCCCAAGGTTTTTACGATCTTCTCGTACGAAGTTACAAACATCACAAAAATATTAAATGTATTAAAAAGTCACTGAAAAATACATTTTCATGTTGTGTTTTTGCTGATGTCTAAAATTTTTTCATAGACTCCAACAATGAAATCTTGATACATAGTGCTTTTGATATACTTAATTAGAACTTCATTGTAGGCACTTGGTATGAAAGATTATACTTTGATTTTTTATAATTCATTCAATGTTTTCTTTTCTTTTTTCAATTGTTTATTAATCATCTAGTGTATCTATTAGTGGAACTTCATCCAATGATCAAATTATGAAGTCTTTATATACTATCTGTTGAAGACCGTGTTCTTGTAGTCAATGATGTACTCAATCACATTAAATAATTTCAACATCTCCAACTATTAAGAATGATCGACATTCTCCATGTAATGATGACGACGATCATGATAATTCAACAAGAAAATTTGTGCACTGTCATCTAATATTAAATATGTTTCTCTACCATCAAATATATATTGTTTATATTTGTCTTTATTTTTTGTTTGCATTGTATTATTTTTGTCAATAAATATTTATGTATTGAAAATCGTTAAATTAATATTCCACTAATATAAAAAAACATCAATAGAATCTGAAGGGTGTCACTACAGATTTTTTGTTTAAATCCAAACCCCACAAAGAAAAAAGAAAACTCATGTTTATAATTATCTTATAAATTCTATGAATCAAAACATAATTCAAGAGATATAGCTGAAAATATAAATAAAAATCCAGACTATTTTTTTAATTTTTCAAAATAAAAATATACTGAGTGTTCTGCAAAGTTTTCACTTAACAGATACGATGATTCAAATTGAAGAATTATTTTTCATCCGTGGACATACACCGCTTGTTATCGTGCACTGTGTATTGTCTCTCCGTAACGTCAAAGTCGTCTTTCTCACATCTTTACATTTCATACATTTTTCACCTGCCGTTTCTACTTCTTCTCGTTCTTCGTAACTGAAGAACAAAAATTTTAAAACTTACGGAGCTTAGGGACGGCTTTAATACAAATTAATCTCCTCACGAATATCCGACATTCTACTGTGGACTCGTACAGGCGGACAGATGGTAGGCCTTCATAAGATACATCTATGTATGTATGACAACAAGCGTCCATTTCATCATCGTCCTTTCGAAAACGATCATCATGGATGTACTAGTCATACATACATAGATGTATATTTGCCTAACCTTTGCCGGCTTTGTCCACTGTACAAGCCAATGGAATACGGAGGGTATCCCTGATTGCACGTGCGCGAAATTTTGCAGCTGCTGCGCTTCGGCGAGCCGTATGTATTCAAGATGACCAATTTATTTTTTCATTATGAAATTAAAAATAAATTACATGTTCTTTTTTACTTCTTCAATGTTTCTTTTCGATTGTGCGTATGCGGATGATGTGGTGGCAAAATTTTTCGATCGATTTCATATGCTTTTTCAAGAAATGAAAGTGCTTTCGAGTATTCGCCCATGTTATAATACACCGAACAGATGTTGTTGTAGGAAGTAGCCAAGTCGGAATGATTCGGAGGGAGAGCTCTTTTTCGGATTTCAAGTGATCGTTCGTACGATACGTAGGTGAAGTTAGCAGTCAATTCGAGTAATTCCGGCAGCGATTCGCCTAGAAACTTGGCCCAACGTTCCTTTTCTCGGTCGAAGTACAACTCGATGAGCTCTATCTAATGGCATAATTGGATTTTCCATAGCTCAAACTAAACTCCCAAAAATCCAAAAATACTGATATTTCACTATAGGACCTGGAAGACCATAAAAGTAAAAGTAGCAGCGATACGCCTAGGAACGTTGGACCAAATTCCTAGGCGAATCGCTGCCAGAATTACTCGAATCGGCTGCTAACTTCATCTACGTGTGTTATATACTGACAAAAAAGAACAATAAATAATGAAGCAGCTACCCGAATGTGTTCAGTAGAGACGATGATTCCGAAAAAAATGGAACCCAACACTTTTTATTAGTAATAGGGAGACTGATCAAATATTACATAAGCTAAAGTCAGCGAAATCAACCTATCATTAAAGTAACAATAAACTATGCGTATTTTTCAGATTCTGATGATAAGAGAAGTCAAAAATATCGAAAAGTATTAAGCGAGCTTTTTGCCATCAAAGACAATTTTCCGTCTGAAGAATCATTTTTTCCAAACAAAAAATGTTACAGATTCTTCAGTGGTGTTCCATCGTAGTAAGAAATCAAACAAAATATTATTTCTTTAAAAGCTGATTCTTCCAAAAGTCACCTTCATCAAATACAGTAAAATTGTTCTAGCTCTAGCTAAGAACGATATTTGAAGTTAGAACTTCTTTTCTTGTGTAACTACGCGAGTGGTGTCACATACCCAAGATTTTGGAGAAGTGCTCACTTCTCCCGTAGGAGATGCGACATCTCCCGCGGGAGATGCGGCACCCACACTCGGGAGATGCGGTGATTTGCTGTTGGAGATGTATCATCTCATTGAGAGATGTGCATCCCCCACATTGGATGCTGCATCTCCTGCTGAAAATGCAGCATCTCCCGGCAGAGATGTGAGCACTTCTCCAAATTGCAGGATATGTGACACTGTTGTGCCCTACTTTTCGACAACTTTAATTTCTGTTTCTTTTATTCTAGATTCACATTGAAACTTTTCTACATTTTGACATTTCGAGAGTAAATCTTTGTGACAAAGGAGTTTTTAATGAAAATTCAATAATTCTGTCGACAAATGAACATTCTTTATTGCTGAGACTGTCAGAATATTTCCAAAATCATCAGATAATATCTACGAGATGAATTTCAGGTGGAAACTGCATTATTTCATTTCCAATAAATATCTAAGAATGGTATAAAAATTTGATAAAATGGTCATAACTTGACTCCTGAAACTCATGAGCACGAATTTTTTTGGAACTGTTCTACTGTTATTGAGACTTGCTTGTGGGTTGAATATGAATTGAAATAGAGTATTATGGTTGGGATAATGACCTCGTAAAATCAAAGATGATTCTATTATTTCGTTAAATTATCTATACATGAATAATAACAGAAATAATAGATAATCGAATGATTGATCAAGAAGAATCATGTGTACTGATTTTACTCACGTACACCACATTATATTTGGCTCTATATGACATTTTGAGAGAGAACGCGCTTAATCGAGCTCCAAAACCTTCTCGACTCACCATCGAACATCAACAAAGCTTTGGATAGCTTTTACATGAGACTCACACATTATTGGTAGCTTTCGGTCGAAAACTCTGTTTTTCGACGAAACTCATACTTTTAGTCTGGTAACACACTTCAAAAACATCACCATTTGATAGCAAAGCGATATCTACATCCATTAAAACCAATGAGAGTTGTTACAAGTCTAGAAGCTGATGTCGACGAGAAAAACTCGAATCTGCTGCTAAATTTCCTTACGTTAAATATATTGATGCACAAAGAAAAATAAATTCGTCAAATTTTCATGCATTTTGTTCATAAATGATATTTTAATCTGCAATATCTTCAACTTGATGTATGCATGCAAAAGGACAAAGTAAACATGGTAATTTAAATTGAAAACTTTAGTTCAACTACAATGAATCTCAATTCAAAAGAGTTTATGACAAACCCTAAATAATGATATAAACGGAAAATATGGACTCATGCATCTGATCACATGAATGAAAGTATGACCCGTACTTACTAGCAAATCGAAAAGCATACTTAAGTGTTAAAATACTAGTGTAACAGTTTATCTAATGATAATGACAACTCATTTTCTAGATAACTTGTTTTATTTTAACGTATAGCAAAAAAATCTATGAGAACAGTGAAGCAGTTAATAATGATGATAAAATATTCTTGTTGAAAATAATTATGACCCTGCTATAGTGTCTATATTTACTTTTCTTTCTACTTTCTGATATGATATAATTGTTTGTGGTGGTTTTCTTTTTTATCGTTACATCTAAATGTACATAGTTCATTCCATTAATTTGTTCGCTTTTTTCGTCTACTGAATCTATGGTGACAGATGTATTATAAATAATAATAAAGTATGATCGGTTCTATGTAGTGACGACCGGTAGAAAATCGACGGTTAACTGTCGCTCATCGTTTCGTTGAACAATGTTCTTCTGCATAGGTTAGGTTTGCGTGTGGATGTGGATATGAATCTTTCTTCATCAACTCACACTGTTATTCTGTCTATTATAGTAATCATAGACTTTATAAGACGTCATTTAATAGATGACAATGAGTATTGATTTATCTGCATATTTGTGGTTAGTTTTAGGCATATGTAGTCATAAATATCTTACTCATCACAGAACACAGATGATGTATTGTTTTGTCAGTTCTGAATGGAAATTAAAAGATATATCAAACAGTAATAGCATCTAAATTGTGTACTTACTCACAATAGACGAAAGAGATAAATATACCATAATTATCTGATTTGTTTTTTTCTTTTAGCAATTTTGATTAAATTCATCTTTATAAGTATACAGTGGAACAGATCGAGCTCCAATATTTCATTGTAATTTTGTCGTGCTCTCATAAATAACAGTTAAAGATGTAATTTGTATTTTTTCATTCGACGCTTGGTTCGAGAGTTATGCTGCATCGTTTTAAGATATCAGTTAGCTTAGTAATTTCTTTAACGT